CCCCCCTCCTCTTCCGTCACCCCTTGCTCCCCGCAGGTATACAAAAGTCAAGTCTACCTCACCATACCAAGATGGCGGACTCTGACCGGATTTCCCGTGACCTTAGCAAAGGTCGTGGAAGTTCAAGGCCAACACAAACTGTCTCCTTACCCCGACTGGGCGTCCCAGACTATCGGAGACTGCCAGGCACTGCAGTACATCCAGAGCATGGAGATTGACCCCAACACTGGCCACATGTACGTCATAGACACGGGGAGAATTGGGCTGGCGTCTCCAAATGTACAGCCCCAGAATCTGTGCCCAGCCAAAATCGTGGTCTACGATCTGAACACCGACCAGCAAACCGCCAGTTACGAGATTCCGGCTGATGTTGTGAGTAGAGACAAGAACTTTATGAATGACATTGTCCTTGATTACGTCGACGGTAAAGTAAGATACGCATACATTAGCGATGTCGCAGAGGCGAAGCTGCATATCTACGACTTCGAAACTAAAACTGGTCGGAATTTGGTAGACGAGGCATCCATGCAGGCGGAGGCAGATGGGTCGATAATCACAATTAACGACGTAAACTATACGTTCGCTGCTGGCATTGACGGTATAGCGATGTCCCCGGACTTTGACTACGTGTATTATTGTCCGTTGGGAGGGTACAACCTCTACCAAGTGCCAACGTCAACGCTGCGTAATGGCGGAACTTCCGGGATAAGACTTTTGGGAAGGAAAGTCTCCCAGAGCGACGGCTTGGTTTACAGTAGCAAACGTTTGTACTACGGCGGGCTAGGTACAAACGCTGTGTACTTCTGGAACTCTGAGAAAGACACAACCGATCAGAACGTGGACATCGGTCAAGCGAACCTGACCACACAGACGCAACTGGTACAGAACGACGAGACCATGCAGTGGCCAGACACGTTCGCGATTGACGAGGAAGGCTGGCTGTGGTTTGTCTCCAACCGTCTCCACTTGTTCTCCACAGGCACAATGAACTTGACGGGGTCAGAGGTGAACATGAGGGTGTGGAAGGTGTTCATTAATGAGACGAGCTATCTGCACGGAGCTCACACCAGGACGGCGTCCAGGGGTGTTGGCTTGACCACTGCGATGACCGCTATCTACGTCACTAGTGTGTGTGTGGTGGTCAGTGTAGTGTGTAGATGGTGGTGAAAGTTGTGATGGCGCTGGGCGAACTCATGTCTGATCGCTGCCCTAGTCACTGCTGTGTATGCGTGTGTATGTGTGTGTGTGTGTGTGTGTGTGTGTGTGT